AAAGATGATAAGGTGGGAACAGAAGAATCTTTCTTCTTAGTCCCAAGCTTATTGCGTGCAATTAATCTGGTTTTATTTAAAATAGAACCAATACTTTTAGAGTGTTGTGTAAATGTTAATTATTACGTCTGTTCCAATTATTATTAACTTCTGTTTTGATTCTATCTTTAATATTTTTTGGAAATTGATTATTTCCTAAAATTTTTTGCAAATCATTTAAATATTTTCATTTCTGTGACCATTGTTGGCTATTAAAATACGATTTGTCATATTTTTAACGATATTATTTTTGATCGTTGAATTGTGATTCGAATGAAAATTCAAAAGGTAATTTGATGCTGTTTCTTTTCAAAACCAACTGGTTATGAAATTTTTGTTTATTTTGTCAATTGCTATTAAAACATCCAAAAATGGTATATTATTATTTTTCTCGAATTCGAATGTAAATTTTAAATTTGTTGTTTTACCATTCAAATCTTCAACTAATTCTTTTACTTGATCTTCACTTAACTCTCAAATGAGGAGCCCGTCATCAATATATCGTCCAAAATAGGCAAATGGAAAACGTGCCTTGTCCCAATATCTTTGTATGAAATCGCTAAGTAACGGGTGGGCCAGATAAAACCGGCCACTTTTGTTCTGTTTTTTTGGTCCCCTTAACTGTGGTTGCAGATAATCATTTTATGCTCAATCGATACAGAATTTTCCGCTCTACAAATCTGTAAGTGTTGTAGATAAAATATATTTTCCATTCGTTCGAAAAATCATGAAAAGTGACGACCTTCAAAAGGTGATACTGCGATTACATGAACAAGGCTTGAGTAGCCGACAAATTTCGAATCAACTCGTAGATCAAGTCAGCAAAACAACGATCAACGACTGGGTAAAAATGTATCGCGAATTCGGTGAGCTCAGTTTGAAAAGTCCACCTCGTCCAAAACGTACCAAAAGAACAAAGAGATTGGTGCAACAGGTGAAACAACATCTTTTGCGTAACAAGAAGCCAAATCACTGAATGTATCAAGAACAACCATCCGTCGAGTGATTAGAGATGATCTGGGTGTGAAATCGTATGTCAAACGTGTTGCACCGAAGCTCACGGACACACAAAAACAAAAAAGATTTTCGTTTGGAATTTGGGCAAGAAAGAATGTCAAAAAATCATTGGCAAGAAAAATCTTGTTTTCGGATGGAAAATGATTCGATATTGACGGTGTATATAACCGTCAAAATGATAGAATATATGCTCCGAATTGTGAACAAGCTGATGAAAATGGTGGCATCCACCGAAAAACAAAATTTCCTCAAGGTGTGATGGTTTGGTTAGGCGTATGTTATGACGGCGTGACACGCCCAGTTATCATTGAAAATGGTACGATAAATCATCAACGGTATATTGATGAAATACTGCCAGTAGCACTAGAAGATGGTCAGAAGTTGATGGGAAATGAGTTTACATTCCAACAAGACGGGGCACCGACGCACAAAGATCATCACACGCAAACATGGTGCAAGGATCATTTTTGGAATTTTTGGCCAAAATCGAGATGGCCACCAAATTCGCCCGATCTCAACCCTCTCGACTATTCCATTTGGCACGAATTGCGTGAGCAGATGAACTGGGGCCAAATAACGAATAAAAAGACTTTAATTTATCAAATCCGTGCCAGTGTGAAAAAGATCCGAGCAGAAGTCGTGCGTTGCAGTGTGGACTGTTGGACTAATCGAGTTTATCGAATGTTGCAGAAAAGATGTGAATATACGTATGGTTTGAAAGAGCAGAAAATTCTCTATCGATTGAGCATAAAATGAGTAATCGGAACCACGGAAAAGGGGATCAAAAAGCAAGAACAAAAGTAGCCGGTTTTATCTGGCCCACCCGTTACAATATCCGCTAATAGCGGTGAAAGAGAAAATCCCATGGGAAGCCCGCGTTTTTGTTGATAAAAATGTTCCCCGGATTGAAAATAAACATTATCTGTTAAAAATTTTACCATGTTGATGATGGTATCATCATTTAAAGTTGTATCTGCTTTCCAATTTTTATCTTGTTTTAATTTTTCCGATAAAATTCCTACCGCATCATCTCGATCTATTGATGTAAATAAATCAACTACGTCTAAACTAGCTAAACTCATTTTTGGACTGACTACTTTAACTTTATAAATATCTTCTATTAAATATTTTGTATTTTTTAACGATCTCACTTTGTCTCCTAATTTTCGTAAAACTTTTGTTAAATGTTTGGTCATTGTTGAGCCAATTTTATTACGCATTGAAACTATAAGTCTCATAGGGTTATCATTTTTATGAGTCTTAATTTGCCCTCTAACGAAAGGTAAACATTTCTCGTTTTTGAGATTTTTTGATTGTTTACTATCAATTTCTTTTTTATGTTGAACTACTTTAACTAAACCAGCTAACTCTTTTATTAACCTTTTGGTTGGATCTCTACTTAATTTTGTATATATAGTGCTATTACTTAACTTTTCTTCTATCTTAGCTTTATAATCTGACGTATTCATAGCTACAATTTTACCACCTTTATCTGCTGATATTACTAAAATACTATCGTCGACTTTTAGACTTTTCAATGTTTCTTCGTGTTCTTTTTGTCCATCAAAATAGCTGGATTCAAATGTCTATCAAGAGTATTTCTTACATCCAAAACAATATGTTCTTTCTGTATTGAGTCTTTTTTATACAAATCAGCTTCAACACCAGCTATCATCTGTGCCACATATTTAGTTGTATTAATACCAGTAGTTGGTATAAAATTTAGTCCTAACTCTAATATACTTCTTTCTCATTGAGACAATTTCCAAGTTGTAAGATCAATAATACGCGATTCAGGATTATTTGTTATTATTGGTATTGTTGTTGGTGCTAACGATTTATTATATGTATAACGAGTTTCATTAAGTAAATAATTATACTTTTTAAACAATTTTTATTTCAATATTGAACGTAATTTCACAATATCACTATTATTATCTTTACTCCAAAATGGTATAGAATTCAAATTCCCGTCTAATTTTTTTAAATTGCCGATCTTTCTTTTTTAGTTCTAATTCTAATGAATAAATCTTTGTAAAATTTTGACGAATTATAGTATTAAGTAATTTCTGGCTCGCAATTAAACATATTTGATCAGTGCGATATGAATTAAAATGTTTGAACATATCCGTAAATCTGTTGGTAGTAAAACTTGCTTTTTACACTTTTGTAGAAAGAAATTTTACTCGTATATCGTAGTGAGCCTTTTTAATAAAGCTTTACGATGCTTACAAATATCAGTAATACGTACGAATAACGTTGACATAATTTTGTGACCACAATACGAGAATATGTAAAGTAACTTTGATACGAGGTACTGTTAATTTTGTTGATAATATGATAAGGAAATCATACTTAACTTTAATTATTCAACAAGTAGTTTTAGGATTACAACAAAAAGGCAAATATAGTTTAAGAGCACAACCACGAGTTAAATATAAATTTTAACCAGTAAATAATTTTATGTTGGTTTTTGACAATTGTACTTATTATTTAATTTTCATCTTTTGTACAGCTGTTATTTCATCTATTCACGACAATGTCAGTCAACATGGTATTTTAGCTGCTCATCTTTGTGCATATTCAATTGTAACTTTCACAATCATCACCTTAGCACCTTTTACTGTACTTATTATTTATTTCTCACATTTCTTTTTAGACGTATGTCATATCTCTTTGATTTCTGGATTTCAATAAGTGTAATTTCCAAACATCATCCTTATATACATCATTATTTGCAGCTGTTGAACATCCTTCGCGCACATTTTTAATGAGCTCTCTATCCATATATAGTGTGTTCTTTTCTGTAATTACTTGTTATTCATATAATTTGTACTACTGAAGAAGGAGTCGGTTTAGACTTCGAAACGTTGAGCAGTTTGTAAATATAAATTTAAAAAATAAAATAAAATTCGATGAGGAAGACGAAATTAAAGTCAAGTATGATCTCCTTATCATATTATCAACAAAATTAACACTACCTCGTATCAAAGTTACTTTACACATTCTCGTATTGTGGTCACAAAATTATGCTTCTACCTCATATATAATTTAATTTTTATTTGGAATATAGAAATGAGATAATGTATTTCTTTTGAAAAACGCAGTTTCTTGCCAAAATATTCGTTTCTCAAAAGAGATCCATTGAAAAATATGGATTTGTATCTCTTATGAGAGAAGCTTCTATTTCTATCGTTCTATTCGATCGTGTTACTCGTTCTGTCAAAAAAATAGTCAAAGATGAATGTTAGTAATAGCGTATTAAAATGGTTCATTTCTAACTTAACGAATCTTACGACAAAGTTTATAATACAAACTATCTGCATTTATCAACGTAATATTATGGGTCCCTGTTGTTCATAATATTTATTATTTAACTAACGAAAAACTCTCAATCGTCTGTTATTGCAACTGTTATTGTAAAACTATTATTAGAGCATCTTCCATTTCGTCTAAGATATGTTATTTGATTATGAGCTTTCGAGTGAAGTTTTAAAAGCAAAATTTCGATTCAAGTACCTACTTCTTGGATAAAATATGAACAGATAATGGAATTATCATAGAACGGAAAACGGAAAATTATTTTTGAAATTTTTAATTTATTGGAGAACTGCATTGAAAAGAGAATGAATTTTTAATGTATTTCTAAAAGTATTGAAAAGAGAACGGCTTAAATATTTATTTTCCAAAACATGGAAAACAGAACTGATTTACTAATATCTAAAAGAATCTTCTTAAAAGAAAAGTATGACTTGATCGCGCGACGACTAAAATAACAAATATCCGCTGGTCATGCAGTTAGCATCAGAATGGTCAACAAGTATTTCAAGATCAATGATACCATTGCCCTGGAATGTCTATGATTAAGTAGTGTCAACAATCTATGCGCAACTAAGTGTACAACAATGGATTGATATGTATCAACGTTGTCAGTTTAATACATTCGATAATTATCGTCTTTGGTATGAATCTACGTATTGTTTCTCTGCAACAAACATATTGTATCTGTCGATATTTTTGTAAGACTATGTGTGCAAACATTTGATCGGTCCTAAAATTCTATATGGCATACACAAATTACCAAATGATCGTTTATCACCTGGAAAAAAACCAAGAGGACAGCCAAAAAAAAAAGCCTTGCTCTATTACTTTGATAAACATAGATTACTATTTTTTGTTAATACTCAGGCTTACTCAGATATATATGATTCCGTTCTCCATTCTATGCAAATTCCGTTCTCTTTTCAATGCTTGTCACTACTTCTCTTCTATTTACTTTTCAGATGATCGTTTCTGGCGTCTCCAAAAAAATGACACGTTTTTCTGCCTACATTGAACTTTTACTCATTGATGATATCAGATGTGTAATCAGTGTTAAAAACCGCTGCTGGATGTGGGTGCCTGTAGTAGTTGCTATCAGAGCTCCGTATGGACTGGACTAAGTCCATGATCCAGTCCAGTCAACATGGACTGGATTGGACTGAAAAGTTTTTGAACTCATAGACTCGGACTGAACTGGACTAGATATTTTTAGTCCATGGACTGGAGTGGACTCAGAATTTTGAGTCCATACGGAGCTCTGATCGCTATATACCGTATAAAGGTTAAAATTCTACTTAATAATTGTTTAGAAAGCAGAATCTTAACTCTTATATATATTCCCCTTATGTATTAGAATATATTCAGAAATGTTAACTATATCGCTGTTATTTTTATTGAAAACAAAGGTCTTTTCCCTGGCTTAAATTACAAGAATCTGATAATCTACGCATGTCTTCACTTATGAGGTATATCAAGTTATATTAGCTTTGATTTATAATTAGGTATGCACCAGTTTTTAACTGGTGTTTGGGCATCCGGAAGAATTGCTATACATCAGTTATCACAATTCGCTCAGAGCCGTGAAACATTTCATTTTGTAGAAAAATGTTTGCTCTACAAAATGCATTTGTTAAAAAATTTCCAAAATCATTTCTAAGAAAATTTAGAACATTCTAAAATGCATAAAATCAAGAAAAAAAACCTGTTCGAACTGGTTTTTTTCCGTGGTTTAATGTATTTTCGAATGCTCTAAATTTTCTTAGAAATGATTTTGGAAATTTTTTAACAAATGCATTTTGTAGAGCAAACATTTTTCTACAAAATGAAATGTTTCACGGCTCTGAGCGAATTGTGATAACTGATGTATAGCAATTCTTCCGGATGCCCAAACACCAGTTAAAAACTGGTGCATACCTATTTATAATATTCTACTTTGATGAGAAAGAATTTCATTGAGTATTTTCACCTTTAGATTGTAGAAAGAGAGTTTTTTCTAAAAAAGAAACAAAGAACAACAGTAAACCAGTTAACTTTTGAAAGAGGATATCGTCAAGTATTCTTGAACAGATTTCGCTTATCTAAACCTGACCTACAGTGTCAAGAACTCGCACGTTTTAAATATTTCACAAAAAAAATTCAGGTATGTGGTTTCTAAAAAGGTTTCTCAGCAAAGTTCTGCTCAAGAAACTTAAGTCTGTTCGAGCATAGTCAAAAGTATCTTCTATGCCACTTTTACTGTCTTGTGAGCAAAAAAACAACGTTCCTTTCCATGGCGTTGCTAAAAGTCTTTTTTTTAAAACCGCATACAGCCTGAAGAAATACTGTGGGACTCTTTGAGGACTCCGCGACGAGATTTTCGACTAGGACATATTATACCTTTTTTTAAGATTTGTTTTGTGAAAATTTCTACATGTTTTCACGCGTGAAAATACAGTTTTTTAAAACAATCTTTATTAGCGATGCGCTAACAATTTGCTGATACTTACACACCATTCAGAAGATCATCCGTATCTAAAATGCAAGCCTATATCCGTACGTACAATATATGGCAAAGAGTAGCGAAAAATCTCGTTGACTCTTACAATATGAAAAAAAATAGGCTGAACGGCTTGGGCAAGCGTGAGGGGATGACGCTTTTTCCACACTAATTATCACTTTTCTCTGAAAGTAAAATAGATGATGACTTAATTCTTACGTCGTTTTATGTGTTTCTCCCTTCCGTATCTACGATAAAAAAGCCTGCTACTCGTTCAGTTTGTACAGAGAAAATAGAGAGCGTTACGACGTGACATTTTGTACTTCTAAATTTCGAGCTGTTTCTTTCTCCACTTTTCTCTGTAAATGTTCTACCTTTTTCAGAAAAATGAAGAAATATGGTTTGTAGAAGACACTTTGAGCTATCTGTTGCTAAAAAGAAAAGTATGAAAGGATTATGTTTTCACGGAGAAAATTATATTTTTCTTTGTACTGCAGTGACATTTTTCGTTATAGAGTGACATAGTATTTTGCGAGATAGTTTTTTTCAATTATGAAAAGCGACGAAACCTTTCAAATTTGAATAGATCTCTATAATATCACACAGAATCATTCCGGGATAAAAAGCTAAAAGAATTTTTTAAACCCTCTTAAAAAAATCTGCAAAAATTTGTTTTGCCTGTAAAGCAATATTTCGGACGTTTATACATTCAAAAAAGTAATGCAGTTTGTAGAGAATTTAATTTCCTATCGAATGGATTTGTTCTCAAAATTTTAATTTGAAATAAGTAAGTCAGAAAATTCAAACTAAAAATTTTAAAAATGTAAATTTAATTTTTATCATTTAAAACCCAATTTTTGTTCATGTTAAAGTCGATAGTCGTGATCTGCGCAAAAAGCTGCGTTTAGTGATAATCTATCTGCTTTTGAGCTTTTAAGGTTGATCTGAGAAAAAAAATTGTTGAAGACTTCAACACTGAAGGACACAGCACCATCACGTGCCTAAGTTTAAAACTTAGGTTCAAACCTGGGAACTTGACGAGTTAGTCAAAAAAAATAAATTAGACTTGTAGTACATATAAGTGCGGTAGGAATCAGTATGAGATTGGATAGGCTAAGTGAGTATAAAAAACTAATGCGTTTTACGCTTGGAAATGGACAGCAATTTCAGTGAGAGATTGAAGACATAAATTCTTTGCTAAAAACTTTCACGAGTACAACTGATTCTTTTTTCCTCAAATAAATAAAAAATCTGTTCAACAAGACCATTCTTCGAAAGAAACAAGAGTATCAAGCAAATTAGATGAACACTGCTGTTTCCTCGATTATTCACAACCTAATCACGTACTCTAAACTATGTGTTATATTCGATTTCTAAATCTGTTCGTGTACGGAAGAAAATAGAATACTTTTACATTTTCTATAATAGTAAATAGGTTACCTTTATTTTGTCAATTATAGACAAAATAG